CACGTCACCTTGACTTCGCGCGTGGATAACTATAGTTGCCCATGTGCGATGAAAGTAACTGCCAAAGGCTGCTGCATTTAATGCGACATGACCGTGTGGAAGTTACACATATGCCCCTCATTTCAAATTCTGAGTTTGTTAAGAAATTCACAACAGAGGAAAAACCAAGTGTTGAGTATGTTGACTAGAGATAAGTCCAACACATGAAGCTTGATCAGATCTGCATTCAGCGCACAACTAGGGCTGCAAAACAAAAACCAAAAAAAAAAAAAAAAAAAAAAACTGAAAACCGAACTTAATTGGGAAACCGGACAGAAATCGAACCAAAAAACTGATTTTTCGGATTAATTGGTTTAGTTTTGATTTTCAAAAGTAACCAAACCGAATTTTCGGTTCAATTAATGGTTTAAGGGCAATATTAAACCGGTTTTTTTAAAAAAAAAAAATATCCCTATTTTTTTCCCCACTTTTTCTTGGGCATTGGGTATGCATACTGCATTCTGCTTCTCCTGCACATTTTCTTAGGTCTGCTTCTGCACTCAGTTATTTTTCTTTTCCTCTTCTTCTCCTTTCACCACTTTCTCTTTCTTTTCAGACTTTTCAGTTTTTCTTCTTTTCTTCCTCTCTTTCACCAATTTCCTTTTTCTTTTTCTTTTTCGTCTTCTTCTCTTCCTCTCCTTCTCCATTTTTCCTTTTCTTTTTCATCTTCTTCTCCTTTCACTTTTCTGTTTCTTTTTCTTTTTCATTTTCTCCATTTCTTCTCCTTCACTACTTTTCTATTTGGATTTGGATAAGAGGCGTGAAGAGAACGCCATGATCGGACTTCAGTGTTCTTCTTCGATGGTTTGGAAGCTCTGCGTCTGCGTTTTTGTTTATGAGATGTCTCAATCTAAGACTAAGTGAGACTGATTCTATGTGTCTTAGGTGTTGGTTTTTTTGTTATGTAAGCGTTGGATTGTGATTTGGGGTATTTGAAATCGACAGCTGTGAGGCGCCCATTTGGTGTCCTTGCTATTCTAAAGAGTCCAACTTCAAATTTTATTAAAATCGGTTTATAAACTGGTTAACCGATAATCTAAGCGATAATTCGGTTTGGTTAATAAGCAGTTCAAGGGATAATATGGTTCGGTTACTGTTCGGATTATCCTTTGAACCGAAAAACCAGTTCGGTTTGAAAAGTGTGTAATCTGTTTTGGTTAACCGGATTTCCATACCCCTACACACAGCCGACGAAGTTCGAGCTTGATATCAAATCAAGCAATAGTCCTCAAAGCTTGAAATTTGCACCAAACACTAGGGAGCAAATGTTGTGTGTGATTTTTTCATCAAGCTCAGAGAAGTAAGAGGTCAGCGAGGTTATAGCTCAATCTAGAATCAGTTTGATTCAATCGATTGTCTAACCCAACATAAACTCGTCGAGATGTAGCTCGACTTAGCACAAGCTAGTCGCGACCAATCCCTATAGTTGTTCAACCAACTCATTGATAACCTCAGATCCCGAATATCTCAGAAGGGATCAGATCAACAACAATCTTGGCGCAATCTCAATGCTTAATCGCGAGAATATCGGAGTTGCATTTCAATCTTAATTGTAATCCCTTTATTTTCGCTCTTTCTTTTGGACAAAATCTGTATATAAATCCCTTCCAATGATGAGAAAGGAGTTAGCAAATTATTCTAGGATCATTATTGTAAGCTCTCACAAAAAATACAAAAACAGTGGATGTAAACTCAAGACTATAATTCACCGAACCACTTTAAAAACTCATTGTGTCATTTATTTTACTGCTTTTGCTTCATTACATTGCTAGTTATCTGTAATCACGCACACATCAGTTTTGAGTCCGTTAAAGTCAATCGCATCGCTCTAGTTAGTGCAAAATCTTGTATCAACAACTTGCTCATTGGATCGAATAATTTATACATTTCATGAATTGATTAGGGTATAATTGTAACTTTGTAAAACTTGTACATTTTTAGAAAAAAGTATAAATACAAATATTTCAATTAATAAAAAGTGTTGGAATTCAATTAATATTTCAATGTCTCATTATTTTGTTATATTTCATAGTGATTATATATTTTTAATTAATACAATTACAAAAGGTCACTAAATATAACATATAAAATATTTTTATAATAATTATTAATAATAAATCAAAATTACCATAATGTATAATAGTAAAAAAATTGTAGGTCGACCTACAAAGCACAGGGGCCACCTCGTGTGCTAGGCCCATGGTACGCTGTATAGCGGGCCATGCCGTGGGCCTTTAGATTTGATGGGTCGACATGGCACGACAAGGCACAAATTTCTGCGGCCATAACACAACACGACGAGCCTTAAATTTTAGGCACAGCACAACCCACCACCGGCTCTAGCTAGTGGGAATATTTTAATATTTTCTAGAAAATCATTGGAAGACTTTAAATCTCTCTGACCAATAAAATTTACCCCAAAATTAATTACTTTTGGATGTTCGAGTGGTTCGATAGAGGACTCTTGAGTGTATTACCAAGAGATCTTGAGTTCTAGCTACTAATATGGGTAGCCATTGTAGTTCTTACCTGATTGGTAGTTCTAATATCCTAAAAGATTAGTTGAAGTGTGAACAAGCTGACCAGATAATCCTGGTCTTAAAAAAAAAAAAAAATTTACCCCAAAATTTGTAATAGAAATTTACTTAAAAGAACAAGAAAAGCGAGTAAAACCAACACGAACGAAACGCGCGTAAGGCTGTTGTAATCTCGTGAAAAATGTTGTACTAACCCTTATCTAGAACGCCACGTTGTAACAACATTACACGGGTGAGTACGAAAATAAATAAATTAAAATGATAAAATCACACGACAGTCACAGATTCCTCCAACAAATGTAAGTACTTTATTGGCTGCCTCAGTCACCTGCAAGAACAACCTATCATTTTATATATAAAAATTACGTTTCAAAATTTTCCTTTTAAGTTTTCTCGCCGTCTGGGCTCAGTTTCTTTCTCAACAACCTCTTCCCTTCTTCTTTCCTCCCAAGTTCCCCATGAACAAAAATTTTCCCTAAATTTCGGGAAAATTCGTCGTCTGATAGAATCGAAATCCTTTTCTCAATTCATTTCTGATTCTTCCTTGCCCTCCGTTCTCTCCTCTAGACGACCAAAACGTCGTCGTTGGGAAGACATTGTTGCTCTAAAAAAACTGCTTCAGTTGTCTTCTTTTCGAAGCTTCTCCACAAAATTAAAATCAATCATTTTGTTTTTGCGTTTTTGAATAGACTGGAGTAGTAGCTTTATTTTGACCTCTTTGACTTCCGTGATTTCTTGATAGTTTTAACCGTCGAGAGTCTTGAAGCAATAATCGTTTTTAATATCGTCAAGAATCTTGAAGTGATCAGTTTTGATTGTTTGTTTGTTGAAGTTAATTTCAGTGTAAAACGATGACGTTGGATTCGATTCCCGGTAGTTCGGGTTACTTGGACGCATTCCCGGAGAGGAGAATGTCGTACTTCAGTAACTCGTACGTTCTTGGATTGACGGTAATTGCCGGCATAGGTGGACTCCTATTCGGCTACGATACAGGTATTCTACTTTTTCTTTCTCTTAATTTGCTTCAGTACCAGTAACAGTACCGGATTCTGAGAGATCTCGGTTTTTTAAAAATTTTCGTACTGGTCCGGTAATGTTACATGAGTGATACTTACGGTAGGATTTACAGTTAAGTTTGTTAGTGATGTTAAGCAACAACATTAGCGGTTAGTGTTCTCACTTTGATGTTTAATAATATAAAAGTCTTAACATAATCACACATTTCCGGTGCTTTATTTTGTGCTGTAGGTGTGGGGTAAGTTTGCCACCATTTCAGCCCTTACATCAACTCCAAAAAAGTGATTGGGAGTTGATCCAAGGGCTGAGTATGGGGGGTTATCCTTACCACTCCAGCAACATGGCAGCTTCCACGGTTATTTTAGTGATTTCATCAATTAATGTACAGGGGCGACAGTGATTTAGTCAAGTCACTTTCAAAGATGTTGCTAAAGATGTGTTTTATACTTTTTCTTTCTCTTTTTGACTAAGCATACGGGAGGGAAAAGCTAGTTTCGCCAACTTTTCTGATTTGAAAATGGATTTTAGTTATGTGACATGTTGATAATTTGTGGTTTTTAATGTTATTTTTGATAATGAAAGTAAGAAATTTGGTCTCAAGAATTTAACCTAGTTTCTGTTTGGACTTTAGCTGAAGGGGCTGTTGGAATAAAAATTCTTTGTTTTTTAGAATAAGATAGATATTTCTTTTTGTAAAAGTAACAATTCCATTGTTTTTTTTGGAGTTTCCAAAATTACTTGTTCAATANGGAGGAGAGGAAAATTACAAGATCAGGTACATTCCACAGATATCATACATGCCTATGTCTGATCTGCAAGATTCATTTCCATTACCACCATGCACACCCACTGAGGAGGGAGATATGTTGGGGTGAAGAGAAGTTTTAGGAATCAAGTTATGTTGACCTGGCACATTCTGTACTTTAGAGATTTGACTTTGCACATATGCGTGTGTGAGTGTGGATCTATTCTCTTTTATGTTGTTTGTGTGGGAAAAAGCTAATTTTAGCACAAACTGGGACTTTATATTAAGATTCTTACAGGTTCAAAGAATCGAATTAATTATATGTAATTTATATTTGATCAAATACTATTAACAGTTGTGCCTAACACACTCTCTGTAATCAAAGGATTGCTGGAGTTCAATCACACACTAAGTACATTAAGGATACAGTACGGACAACTCTTAAGTAATAGGCCATTTATGACTGAAAAGTAATTGTCTACAAGGTTTTACCCTCAGCTCTCTCCACAAGTTCCAGTAATTCTTAAAAATCAGATTAATATCTAGTGCTGCAAGTGAGTGTGAATTTAATTGTCAATATGAAGTTACTGCTTCAGAAATTACAAAAATTAAATTTCTTCAACAAAACAATCTCAACAGAGTTGTTACATAGCAGTCATCTCTAGCCTTTGCCATGTATCACTACAGTGGTGCATGTATAATCAACGGAAGCTTTACAAATTTTTTACCTCTCCGGTGAGGATCCTGTCCACGAGTTGGTGTGAAGAGGATTTTATACATCATTTCCAAATTCAATCACTAGTGCCAACGATCCAGCTAAGTCCAGGTACTTTTCTTAGTCCACCATCTACTAAATCCCTCAACTTCTTCACATCATCCCACCTCCCATTGCTAGCATATATGTTAGAAAGCATCACTCTATAAGCACCTTTGTTTGGGTCATTTTTGAAGAGCAGCTGAGCTCCAATTTCTGCCAATTCTGAATTCTGATGAACATCACAGCATGATAACAGTGCTCCCCAAATGCCAGAATCTACTGGCTTTGGCAAGGACAAGATAAAATTGTATGCCTCTTCCAAATTTCCAACTGTCCCCAGAAGCTTCACAATGTAAACATAATGTTCAGTTCTAGCTTGGATGCGAAAGTCCTCCATCATCTGCCGGAATATTTCCAAGCCATTATTAACAAGGCCACAATGGCAGCAAGCACAAAGGAGAGCAGCAAAAGTAGATTCGTCAGGTTTTAATCCTTCAGCTATTATCTCCTCAAACATTTTGAAGGCCTGAGATGCAAATCCATGCAAAGCAAGACCCCTAATTACTGTATTGTAAGTAACAATATTCCTTTCCGTCATAGTCTCAAAAACACGAATCCCCAAGTCCACAAACCCACATTTTGAATACATGTCTGTGAGAGCAGAAGAAACCACAACACTCAATTCGAAACCGCGCTGAATAACATAACCATGCACCACACTACCAGACCACACATTTGTTGACTGAGCAGCAGCAACCAGCACACTGGCAATCAAAACAGGATCTGCCTTCTTGCCTTCAATATGCATTTTCCTGAAATAGTACAATGCCTTTTCATAATCTCCATATTGAGAATAACCCGTAATCAAAGCGGACCATGTTACTAAATCAGGCTGAAATAAACTACTAAAAACACTATATGCAGAATTCATGCACTTACATCTAGCATACATGCTCACAAGTACACTAACTACATGATCACTGGAATCAAAACCACTTTTCAAACAAAATCCATGAATTCCTTGGCCTATACGTAACAATCTCGATTCCCTTAAACCCGAGATCAACCCAACCAAAGTATACCCATCTGGCTTTTTCCCTACGCGTCGCATCCAATTCCAAAGCTGCAAGCTTTTATCCCAAAATCCACAATATTCATAACCAGAAATCATGGAATTACACAATATCAAATCCGGGTCCGATACCTCAATAAAAACCTTGCTTGCATCATCAATAAGGCTTAGGTTTGAATAGGCAGTAACAAGTGCACTACTAGTAACAGAATCCAGTCCTAATCCTGAAACTACCATTCCATGGACAAGTCTCAGTCCTTCTAAATCAAAACTCTCAGAACACGCGCGAATAATACACGCATAGGTGAAGTTATCGGGTCTTATTTCAGTTCTAAGCATGTTTTTGAATAGTGATATTGCATCATTAAGTTGGTTGGCTTTGGCGTAAGCACGAATAATAGAGTTCCAAAGGAAGACACTTCGTTGTGGAGTTTTGTCGAACAAGTTACGAGCAGATGAGAGGTCATTGTTCAGAGCATAGAGTCTTGTGATTTTGGTAGCATAAAATGGGTCACGTAAGAGGTGGGATTTGGTGACAAGAGCATGCAGTTGTTTGGTTCTTGACAGGCTTTGATGAGACTTTGAGAGCTCTAAGACAAGGGAATCAAGTTTGAAGAACATCAAACTATGGAACTTACGTAAACATATGAACTGTTTTGAGGTTTCAGTTTAGAAGTTGTAAATTTATCTTAGGAAGAAATAAACAACTGTGATTAATTCTTTCTAGGGGTTTATAAATTGAAATGATCAAGACATAAGGAACAACTAGATCGTACACCAAAATGTTTCCTATACCTGTCAAACCATAGGAACCATTATGCATTGTCTGTATCGTGCCAAATTTATTTATAGAATTTCAGGTCTGTCCAAATATTAAGAAATTTGTTTGATTAAAGATATTTTTATTAAATTTATTTATAAAGTGTTGTGTATGATTTTTCCATCAAGCTCGGAGAAGTCAGATGTCAACAAGGCTATAGTCCGATTTAGAATTAGTTTGACTTAATTGATTGTTCGACCCAGTATAAACTAGTCACGACCAATCTCGACAATTGTTCAACCAGCTCAAAAATAACTTCAGATCTTAGATATCTCGGAAGGGATCAGATCGATAGTAATCTTGACACAATCTCAACGCTCAATCGTGAGAATATCAGAGTTGCGTTTCAATCTTAATTGTAATCCCTTTATTTTCGCTCTTTCCTTTGTACAAAATCTGTATATAAACCCTCTCCAACAATGAAAAAGGGGTTAGCAAATTGCTCCAGGATCATTATTGTAAGCTTTCATAGCAAACACAAAGACAGTGGATGTAGGCTCAAGAGGGTAACTTACCGAACCACTTTAAAAACTCTTTGTGTCATCTACTTTACTGTTCGTAATTCATTACATTGCTGGTTATCCATAATCACGTACACATTCATTCTGATTCCATCAAGGTCAATCGGATCACTCTAGTTAATGCAAAATCTTGTATCAACATTTTGGCACTAGAAGAAGGGCCTCCGCCAAATTTCAGAATTTCCGGCAAACAATCTGAGTGACCCGATCACTCTAGGCCGACAATGGTTCATACAAGATCAAAAACAACCACCAGAAACCACGACAACGTGGAAACCACCCACCAAGAGGTGTATCAAGACGTCCATGAGTGTCGACCACCAGTGCCGCTAATGCAGCAGGCCACAAACCAGTAAGGACCAGGGACGTCGAATCTCGAGAATGGCCAATTGGTGGAGATGATTAGAACAATGGTTGCACAGGTGGTGTAACAAAACGTGGCTGAGTTGAGAAATCAGCAGCCAACCCCTCAAGGCCTTAACTAGTCGCGCTTCACCGACATCACCCCAACAAGTCAGAATTCAGCCAGTGACTAATCTGGTTCGTCGGCACCGAGGAATGGTTGACAATTTCAGCATCGTCGAGCACATTTCGCCTATAAACGAGAGTCCTACGAGCAAACTAAATTCGGGAGGTGACCGAGCAAACAACCCATAGGAGAGGATGAAGATAATGGTCGCCAAAGGGATACTCGACCTACTCGACGATATCCTTAATGTCAGCGTGCCACTTTTAACCCACACTAAATGTAGACTCATACCTCGCAAGCTTGTGAGATGAGTCATGTGCACCAATCTGGCAATGATTGATGTTCCAGTTATAACCAGCGCCGCGAGCAACCCACTGATGAGCATGATAACACCTACCAACCGAGCCATCATGACTTAACTTCGCGCGTCAATGCGCACAATGAAGGGGTCTCACAAGCAATAGACTTGCAAACTCACTTGTTCAAGGTAAGGCTGAATAGACCTAGCCAGAGTAACCCTCATAATGAAGACTTAGATCGGGTGCAAAAAATGTTCGACGATCTAAGAGTCTGCCAGAACAATGCGGCGGAAGAGAGATAGTGAGCTCTCCATTCACAGAGGAAGTTCGCCAGGCCTCGTTTTCCCATGGATTTAGGGCGCTAGAGAGCAAGTTCGAGGGGAAAGGGGAAATACCACCTTGACTCTTTCAACGACCTAATGAAGCTACATCAAGTCTGTGACTTGGCAAAAGGTTGTTGCTTCTCGGTCACTTTGGTAAGGGATGCCAAGAGGTGGTACAAGAGGCTCACGTAGAACTCGATTAGTTCTTGGCAAAAGTTCTCCTTGCTGTACCTACAGCAATTCCAAGCGAGGAGACAGTTCACAATGCCGCTTAGCTACCTGAGCAATATTTGTCAGGAGAGAGACGAATCATTGAGATACGAGGTTCCAGAATGAATAGGCAAAGGTCGCGGATGCATTTGAAGAGTCAATCCAGATTTTGCTAATTGCGGTTATCAAGCCACAGATGTAGGTGTGGAAAGAGCTTCAAAGTGAAGACCATGTAAGCCTGGCGAAATTTTATCAAATGGTTGCTAAGCTTCAGCTAGTGGAAAGCTCACTAGCAGCCTTAGCCAAAAGCTCACCACGAAGAGCCCCAGACAGGCGACAAGATCGCCTAGCAGATAAACGAGCCAAGACCATTATGAGAAGGATCGGAACAGGTTCCAAAAGAGGTAGAAAACATAAAATCACGGGGAAAGGCAACTTTTTCGTGATATGCAAAATACACCCCCCTCACTCAAGACATAGCTCATATATATGAAGTCTCCGAGGCTAAGAGACTGCCTACTCTAGAAAGGATAAGGGGGGTCCAAGTAGAATAGACCAGCATAAATATTGCTAATATCACTAGGACATCGGGCACAACACCAATGAATGCTGGGCTCTAAAGGATGCCATCGAAAATCTAATTTGAAGGGGCCACCTAAAAAAATGTGTCAATGAGGCACCAACTCACGAAAGTACAGGCGAGCAGAATAATCAGATCCTGCAAGCCTCGACCAACAACAAAGTCCTAGTAGGCATGATCTATGGGGGTCCCGACATTGCGGAAAGCTCAAGGTGGTCTCGCAAGCAATATGCGTGAGAGGCCAAAACAGACTCGATCCCCCGAGTAATGACCTATGAACAGAAGCCGCCAAAGCGGCCTAGACAAGTGGATGAGTATGAAGAATCTCCTCGCCACAATCATGATGCAATCGTGATCGCAGCAAGGATCGACAACGCCTGAGTACCAGGGTGATGGTCAATAATGGCAATGCAGCAAATATCATTTTCTTGTGAGCTTTCCAAGGGGTTCATAGAGCAAGACCTGAGGGCGTGTCCATCGCCGCTCTATGGATTCACCGAGGATAGCCTAGTCCTCAAGGGAACGATTGACCTGCCCTTGACCCTAGGGGCGAAACCCAAGATCAGGACGATGATGGCAAAATTCTTAGTGGTGGACTGCTCGACCACTTACAATGTCATTCTTGGAAGATCGATCCTGGATTATCTGAGTGCATTCTCCTCAGTACGTTGTTAAGCAATAAGGTTTCCAACTCTAAGTGGGTCATAATGATCAAGAGCTGCAAGAAAAAATCTTGGGAATATTACAACTGGGTCATTCATGCTACATTAAAATGGTCACTCTCGAGAACCATGGTCATCCTTAAGTTCGAGCCAAACCCCAGACCTTTGGAAGACACCATAGATCCTCGCATCCACAAAGAAGAGCTCGTAGCAGGGCCAACAAAAGAGCTACAAGAAAAATCTGTCAGCGAGGAAGACCCAACTCGTGTGCTAAAAATTGGCGGCAGTCTAGGCGATGAACTGGGAAACAATCTGGTGGGGTTCCTAAAGAAAAACCTTGACATGTTCGCTTGGGTACATGCGGATATGGTGGGGATCAGCCCCAAGGTAATGTACCATAGATTAAATGTCGACCCCACAGCTCGACCAGTTAGACAAAAAAGTATATCTATGGATGTAGAGTGGTCCAAAACGCTCAAAGATGAAGTTGACAAGCTTCTGAACATCAACTTCATCAAGGAAGTGAAATACCTGGACTCATGGTTTTAAAACCTAGCCCGGCCTAGCCGGTTGAACCAGTTCGACCAGGAACCCATGGCTAGATTGAGTCGGTTCATGTTAAAAACCAGAAATAGAAATTGACCCGCTTCCACCCACGATTGAACCAGTTTTTTTCAATGAACCACCGGTCCAACCGGTATAACCCGGGTTTGCTAAAGTAAAATATTAAAAAATAATTAAAAATTAAAAGTAACCCTTTTCAACTTTCTTTTCTCCCTTCCCTATTTTTATTCGACAAAACCAACACCAGCAGAGAAGAAAAAAAAAAAAAAAAAAAAAAAGAACCCATTCAAATTAAAATCTGCATTTTTTTAATACTTTTTTTGCTGACGTCAGCATGATGACGTCACGGTCTGACTTTCCGATCAGACCTTTTGACCCTTAAAACCTGTGACCCAGTGGCTTGGCCAAGTTGCCCCCCAAGTCGGGTTTTAAAACCTTGCCTAGACTAGCTCGCCAACCCGATCTTGGTGAAAAAGTCGAATGGCAAGTGGCCGAATTACATCGACTTCATAGATTTGAACAAAGTCTGTCCCAAAGATAGCTTTCCGCTAGCCTGGATCGACCAACTAGTAGATGCGACAACTGGGAGCATACTACTAAGCTTCATGGATGCATACTCGAGATATAACCAAATCCCGATGTATCAACCAGATGAAGAACACGCCTCATTTATTACTGACTAAGGGATTTACTGTTACAGGGTAATGTCATTTGGCTTGAAGAACGCTGGAGTGACCTATCAACGTTTGGTGAACAAAATGTTTGTCGAGAAAATTGGCAGGACAATATAAGTGTACATCGACAACATGCTCATCAAATCAAAGGTTGCCGAAAGCCACATTGAGCATTTAGGGAAAATGTTCGACATCCTTAGAAAATACAAAATGAGACTCAACCCTCTGAAAACAGGTTCAGGGCTTGACAAGGCGTGTGGCCGCACTTAGTAGGTTTGTCTCCCGAGCTACAGACAGGTGCTTACCTTTTTACGAAACTCTGAAGGGAAACAGGGGTTTCAAATGGATAGAGGAGTGCGAGAAAGCATTTTAGGAACTGAATAAGCACTTGGGGTAGCCTCATTTGCTATCAAAGCCCATCCAGAGTGAGCATTTGCTTCTGTATTTATCGATATCTAAGTCTATATCAGAGTCGCTTTGGTACGCGAAGAGGGAGTGGAGTGCAATGGCGGGTGTACTATGTGAGCAAGAGGTTGCGTAATGCTGAGACAAGATACTTCAAGATGGAGAAGCTCGCCTATGCACTGGTCATCGCCACTCGGAAGTTAAGCCCCTATTTCCAGGTGCACTCC